GTCATGGTGTTGGCAGGTTCAGTGTCTGCTGAGGGCCCTCCTGGCTTGCAGACAGCTGCCTCTCACTGTGTCCTCACGTGGCAGGGAGTGGGAGAGTGTGCTGTGGTCTCTTTCTCCTCTCATAAGGACGCTAATCCCATCCTCGGGTCCCCACCGTCATGGTCTTGTCTGAACCTAATTACCTCCCAAAGGCCCTACCTCCAAATATCCTCATACTGGGGGTTCAACACATAAATTTTGGGGGGACACAAACATTCAGTCCATAACAGTGTTTGAGTAGATCAGGTCAGCACACTCCGTCCTGTAAGCCAGATCTGACCAACCTGGCTTTTCACAGCCTGCAAACTAAGAATGCTCTTTATATTTCAAGTGGTTACACTTTTCTGGTTATATAAGTGCCTACATAATATACTTTAACTTTGTCTGCAGGCCGGCAAAGTCTGAAATATTTACTTCTCGACTTTGGAAACATTTTTGCTAAACACCTGGAATGGGTTGTGCTTTTTACTTCCTTGCCCTCACCGCACTGTTTATGCAGAAGGGTTCTCTTCCATGTTCTATAGGCCGGGTTTGCTCGTTGTTTAGATTGTCTCTGACTTGACCTTGTTTTAGGTTGTCTCTGACTTGCTCAGACTTAGATATCCATCTGATGTACTCTCCTGGCCCTTGAGCAGTCACCACGCTGTAAAGTAACTGTGTGTTCCCTGGGAGACAAGTAGCCTTGGCGGGTCGTTGTGACTTTGTTAAATTAACATTTGTTAAGTAGAGCCCTGGAGTGTTGGATGGTGAACCTCAGTTCAACAAAAAACCGCAAGGGGAATTCAGATAAAAGAGTTTATTACTTACAGATCCTGGAGGAAGTACAGGGCAGGCTTTGAGGGCCTTATGGAGAAGTACCTGGCCTACCATGAGGGGCTGTGCAAGTTCAGACAGAGCAGCAGGACCTGGGGCATGGGCCTTTATTAGAGTCCGTGGTGGAACGCTTTGGGGTTCCCAGGGTAAAGCGGGATCGTTCCGTTCAAACTGAAAAGGGCAGGGTTTTGGATAGCTCCATGGGGTCTTCTCTAAGGGGTGCACACGGGGAAGGCCCTGGGAGGCGGGGAGACTGTTGCTCCCCAGAGCTGCTGGGGCAGTTGTATGAGGAACTTACATTTGCTGTAACTCTGGCGCTGTTATCTAGGCGGGTGCTCCAGGAGGGGCTGGCTTCAGTTCAAGGCCCTGCAGGCCGCTTGGCCACACAGAATGGATGCTGAGGCAGCAGTATCACGGAGGAGTTTAGTTGCGCTCTCACAAAAGTGGGGATTGTCTTTTTACACGGGTGTATCCTGTGTCAGAATTGGGCCTTGTGTGTATTGGTTTTTGTATGTGTTGGATTACTGAGAGTGTGTCTTATGGTTGCCGCGTAGAAGGGCAGGATCAGCTCCCCTCCCCCAAATTTGTTAGAATGTTATGACTGATGGTGCCACACGTACCAAGAGGGGGTGAGAAGAGTTATTGCTCACCGAGTGAGGCTTTCTGCGGAGAGCAGGGTAGACACCCAAACTGGTCCAGAATGGCTTGAGTGAGGAGGGGAGGGCACACGGCTCTGGATTTATTGTGGTTGGAGGACAGGCTGGGTCGAGGGCTCCCACACACAGCCTAGATTTAGATTTGTGTGCTTGGAACTTCCCTGCTGATGCCAAGGGAGGTAGATTTTTTCCAACAAGAAGTTTTGCTTATTATAAATGCACTGTGTCCTTATTACAGAAAAATCAAAAAGAACATAAAAAAGTGTAAGTACATACTATCTCATGTAATGGAAAATTCTAACAGTCCTTTGGTTTGTCACCATCCAGGTATTTTCCTGTATTTTTTAGCATTTAAGATGGAGTCATATTGTGCACATGTAATCTGTTTCTCCCCCTACCCCCATTTTACAGAGCATCTTTCCATGAGACTAGGTAAATTTCTAAAACATCATATGTAATAATTTATTGATGAGTGTTAATTTGAGGCATGAATATGGATAGTTTCCCCTTGGTTCCTCCCTGTAACTGTTGCTAATGGTGTTACGCTTCCTTTCCCACTGGGCTTTCCCAGTAACTTCTCAAAATGGTATCACAATTGTTCCACCACTTTTGCATTCATTAGAACTGGCTCATTCCCATTCTTTAAGACTATTGTTTTAAACCTTTCATTATGAAGTGAAACCTGCAGAAAACCACATAAAACAAATAGAGAGTTTAGTTAGTTATTAAAGTTATAGGGCCAGCCATTGTGGCCTAGTGGTTAAGTTTGGTGCACTCCACTTTGACAGCCTGGGTTCACTTCCCGTGCACGGACCTACATGACTCTGTTAGTGGCCATGCTGTGCTGGTGTCCCACATACTTAAAAAAAAATAGAGGAAGATTGGCACGGATGTTAGCTCAGGGTGAATCTTCGTTGGCAAAAAAAAAAAAAAAGGTCGAGCACATCTTTGGCAGCGCTGGCAGTGTTCCCTTTGCTCTTGGTGCATCTCAGCAGCCCTGCTCTGGACTGAGAAAGTGTGGTTCCAGTGCCTTTGATTCTTTGCCTTGTCACTGGTTGTTGATCTCACCAGGGGCACCCAGCATCATCTGGTTTCACACATACTCATATATACAATACAGCCAAATGTTTGTATAGAGGATTTGATTCTTTTGGGTAAAATTACATAACTCATACTGCTCATTGCAGGAAATGAGAAGATACAGGTACTCTAAACAAAAAAAAAAGAAAAAAATCCATAATCCTAAAATAGAGGGTTAACTTGTGTTTCATTTTTCATTCCTATTTTTTTCTATGCATATTATATGGTTTTTTTTAGTAAAATGGATAATTCTGTACATACTGACTGTTTTAAAGACCTGAAGTTTTTTTCAGTTAACATCTAGGCCTTCTCAGTAGAAGAATGTATTTTTTCTTTAAGGTGAGAAACATCTTGTGTTCATACTGATACTTCCCATTTATATCCAGAAACATAGAGTTTTTGTTTAATTTCATTGTTTTTTACATCCTTATTTCCCTTTTCCTAAGATGAGAATCCATTTTTCAACAAACACCAATCAATATAAGGCCTGTCATTTGTACCCATGTGTACACGAGCATCTCGGAGTAATAACACCAGCGCTACCATAGTAATAATGTGATTACTTACAACTGCTTGAGGGTTTTTTCTCCACTTGAAATAGTTTCCCTCTGAGTGTTATGCCATCAACTTGAAACACAGTTAGATTCATTTATTTTGATTTACTTTTGACTTATAGAGATTCATTCTAAGAGCAAAAGATTGGAAATGACCCAATCTATTTTTCCCCCCAATTAACATATTTCCATGTCTGTAAGATATATTTTTATTATCTTTTCTTAAGAACAGCATAATATTCTGTTGTATGACTATATTACACTTTCTGTTTAGTCATTTTTCTGTTGTTGGGTATTTAGGCTATTCCTGCTTTTTTGGCATTCTGAACAATGCTGCAATAACCACACTAATACATACATATTCTGCTTTTGTCTATTTCTAAGGGATAAATTCTTAGAAAGGAAAAATTTGCCTGTTTAAAAAAGGTTTTAGCTAAATTTTAACAAATTGACCTCCAGAAAGTTTGCGTGAATCTAATCCTTTCTGGAGTGTAGATGAGTACTAGAGTCCTCTCAATCATGAAACGTCAACATTTGTGTTAGCATTCTTTCCTACATTGTATTTATTGGCTATTTATTTTATATTTATTTTGTGAATTTTCCACTGTGGACTTTGCCAGTTTTTTTTCACGTTCATCTTTTTTCTTGAGCTTTAGGAAGAGTAGGTATTAAGGACAGCAAATATTTCATGATGGAAAGAGGTTCTGCGAAACATCTCTTTTTTGTGCCATGGTTAGATAATTATCCAGAGTTTTTTCCTTTTAAATAATAGCGATTATTTCAGTTACTTTTTGTCCTCAATGGATCCTGGAAGGAAGGCCCAACAACACAAAATTCGAAAGATTTGGATGGAACACAGGGAAACCATTCTAATTTTATTCACATTGTCGGAAATAAAGTCTTCCCTTTCTGTGAGAGTTTTTCAAGGCTGTAATCTCTAAGTCATTTAAAAATGTGTGGCTTTGTGATGTTTTTACTTATATTGTACTCTGGAAAGGTCTGCAGTGTTGGATCAATTCTTGGATTGGAAGTTTTTGTTTATTTCTTTAGACTTCAGAACAAGAGTCTTTGAAAGCAAAACACCGCTTTTCTCAGGATAGGTGATAGCTAGCAATAGCAAGGTTGCAGATAGAACCGTGGAGGGGCTGCCTATACCAGTTCGATAGTCTAGTCCTGTTATAGAAAAAGAACAGATTAAGGCAAACCAAGGAGGTGGTAGTGGGGCCAAAGGTAGTGGTAGGTAGGCTTGGCACAAGAAAGGAAATGGAATAATCACATCGTTAAAGGCTTATTTCCTTGTTTTACGTAAGTGGCCCAATCCCTAGAGATAATAAAACAACCTCCTACACCAAAGGTGAATAAGTTTTGGGAGATTCTTTACCACTTTTGATTATTTGTGTTATCAGGGAAGTTGTTAGAAGCATGGAATCAGGAGACAGACCTCCTATCTTCGCATCTGATCTTGGCCAGGTGTTAGGCTCTCTGTGCATTGATTTCATCATATATAGTATGAGGATCGTACTCATCCCTAAATCATAGGGTTATTTTGAAGATTAAACAAGTGAATTAATATTTGTAGAGCGATTAGAACAATATCTTGCATATAGTAAGCACCATAAGTTTTTTAAAATAAAAAAAATCTGATGGGGAGGAAGACTTAGGAGGATGTTACAAATAGCTTGATCAAGTAAAACAGTTGACTCTATATTTTCCATTAAAAATTTTTATTTTTAAAATCTATTCTTAAAACACAAACCTTGAGTAAATTCAGATTATCATATAGTTATATTTTCAAAACCATTAATTACACACATCATTTGAGCTAGATTATAGCATTTTTTACTGCTTTTTTTCACAGGATATTCTGAATAACCTTGAATCATGTGACCTTGAGGATGATGACCTTATGCTTGATGTGGATCTGCCTGAGGATGCACCTCTTGAAAATGGTACGTGGGGACAACATGGAACCGTCAGAAGTTGGCTACTTGCTTGTATCCACTTTGATATGTTATTTACAGACTTCCTAATCTCAAGGGAGGAAGCCTTTTCAGACTGAGAATCAATCTTAAATTACGTTATATAGGTTCATTAGAAAACTTATTTAAATGTTTAAAACCTGATTTTGTAGGTCTTAGATATAATTTTGTAGGATCCAATAACATTGCAGACCTATACCATAAAGTAAGTGGTAGGTTGGATTTGTCCTTTTTTTTCTCTGTGTGCATATCCAGTTTTTCCTCCTTTGGTCTCATTTTAATTCTAAGAAGAAATACATTTAGAGAAACAGAGATAATCATTTGACTTGGGAAACAGCAATAAAAGTCACTAAGTTGGTAAATATTTTAAAAAGATCAATTTTGGGAAAATGGTGACCTTCTGAATTAATCATTCTGCCCTTTTTACTTTCAAATCCAGTCTGTCTTCCTCTCCTGATCCCAGTAACGGCTGGAGTGGAGCTTCAGATAATCCATATGCAAGAGGCGTGAGCACTCTTGCCCTGACTGGCATAGCGCTTGTGGGATTTCTTACCTCAAGGACTGGTCGAGAACCAGAGCCCAGCCCAGGAAAGCCCCTGGGACATGGGTTGAAGTGGGGTCCTTTTGGGAGCAGGAATGGTCCAGAGGTCTGTGAGTCCCCATTGGTCAACGTTTGCCTGGTCTCTCAGGCCTCCCAGGGGCCAGGGATGAACTGGCAAGGGTGGTGAAGTCCTTTTTATACATGATGCTAGAAAAATGCAAGGGAACGTCAGAGAGGGTGGGTGTTTGTTCTCTGCTTCATTGAGGTCCTAGGAGCCTGCTCACGGCTCACTTTTGTCATATTGGCCAGGCTTTTATTGCGCTGCCACGATACTATGTAACAATCTCAAAATCTCAATGGCTTTCAAAACAAATGTTCATTTTTCTTATTCATGGATCTGTGGGTTAGCAGAGGCAGCTCAGGCTGTGGGACTGAGTTCAAATCTGTTCCTTGTTCTTTCCTTTCTGCGACCAGGACTCCTTGGAGCAGCTTGCTCTTATGGCAGATTTCAGGAGACAGCAGGGGAGCAGAAGCATACATATAATAGCTCTTAAAGTCTTGACTTAGAACCGGCACACTGTTACTTCCACCCACAATCTGTTGGGACGAAGCAAGTTATATGGCCAAGCCTAATGCCAGTGGGACTGGGAGGTATGCTCAGCTCACAGTGAGAAGCTCCGCGTCAGAGGACACTGGATGTACAGTTCTGTTAAGGGAGAGAATGAAGAGCTGAGAACAGTATCTGCTCTTCCACAGGGGTAGAGACTGTCGCACCTTCTGTGGTTCCGCTGTCGTGTGTCATACTCCAGCAACCAGAGCTGAGTTCTAGTCACCTGAGGGAGAAAAATCACAGCCAACACTCAGGAGGAGGAACAGGGAAAACCACAGAACTCTCGGGATTAGAGCGGCCCAAAGAGAGAGTGGGAGGACTTAGGGAGATTTGATGGCAGCACACTTCATTCTGGAGCTGTACAAGATTCCCTGACAAGACGGTTCAGTAGAGGACAGAAAGCTTAGCTGCTGTTGAAATCTGAGTTGGTGGCCAGGAAGGTCAAGTGGAAAAATATTGTAGAAAACAGAGGAAAAACATAAACCATTGAAAATTATAGGGGAAAAAGTCATGAGACTTCATGATCCAGAAAATTTAATGTGAAGTTTTAAGGGCTGGTAGCGAGGAGGGAGGGATTTGCCTCCTTGGGATAAATCACATCCTAGATAATGTATTACATCCTAGATAATGTATTAATTTTTTATAATTACTTCGGGATTATAACAGCTTCTCTTTGAAAACCGAATGCCCTTTCGGAGCTACAAAGAAGTGGAGCGGTGGAATCGGTGTTAGAGCCTTCTCTTTGAAAACCGAATGCCCTCTCGGAGCTACAAAGAAGTGGAGCGGTGGAATCGGTGTTAGAGCCTGCCTCATCTTTAAAGCACAGCAGGATGTTGTCCACGTGTTAGATAAAAGTAGAATCTCAGGGACATTTACTCTTTGAGGTCTGGGGTGGGGGGCTTGTGAAACTTAGGAGGGAACTCCTGAAGTGTAACAACTCACAGATGTTGTAGATTTTCCTCGAAGAAGGCAAACAAGTGTTGACTATTTGGAGCTAATGGAACACTGAAGAAAGCAGAACATGGATTCTAAAATATGTGGCCTTCAGAGACACCAAAGATAAAGTAATATCGAGGTTTGGTCCTAGCAGGAAGTGGAGAGTGACTGTTCTCTGTACAGCACTGAGGTCCTGAAGGACTGCCCACTCATCGAGGTTTGATTGGGAGGATGGGGGGTTACAAGGACTGGCACAAGGTTTGAGGAGTCTTCTAATACACTTTTGACGACTGGTTTTAGTTCCCTTTAGATTCTGGTTTTTGAGGCCGTTATGCAAATTTGGGTAGAGTTTTGATGGGTCACTTTGAACCTTTCTGGGTTCAGTAGTAGGGTTTAAGGTTGATACTGTAGTGCCTGTGTCAGTAAAACGTTTGCAAGGTTGTCCTTTGATATTTAGAGAAGTTTATCTTTGAGCGTAAGGGTAGAACCAGAAATTGGGTGCTTGATTCCCCCTCAGAAGACTTTGATTAGTCGCCCACTTTATTTTTTCTCCTTTATTTCTTATGTGAGGCAGACCACTTGCTTTCCCAGTGCCCTGCTATTTGCAGTATCTGTAAGTGTGTTGAGAGACTCCTTCCTTCTATGTTGAAAAGACTGAGGGGAGACGTCCAGTTGTTAGATGTGAAGGACATCATTTTATTCTGAGTCACATTCTCTTTTTTCCTGAGCCTCTTTCCAAGTATTGGAAGTCTAACAATGAGGCTGTTTACCCTATTTCTGCGTTAAATTCTTTCACAGAAAGTGACGAGTGAGATGGGGTCACACCTCTTTCAGAATCTGCTTTTGAGTGCTGTCTAAAGGTGTTAGTCCGTCCTTGGAGCCTGCAGTGGATTTATCCTTCCTTTGTTTACAGAACTGAGTTAGAGCCCAATCTGTGTTCACAGAAAAGACTTTGTTGACAGCCTCTCAAAGGCCTTTTGGTTTCTGAAAGGCCTCTGGTTTCCCATGCAATTCCTGAAGTTCGGGACACAACACGCTACCCCAAAATATGGCACCTTGGCATTTTGAATATTTTAAACTGAAGGAGTTTGAGAAAACAGGAGAAGCAGGAAGGTCACTCTGACCTCCTCCCCCTTCACCCTTCTTCCCTGAGACATTATGAAGCCCTCATGTGGGGCGCCCTCCTCCCTACACGCAGAGGAAAGGAGCATCCTTGTCTCCAAAGATGAAGGGACGCCAAGAAGAATCCTAGCAAACAGGCCTTGCTGAGTTTCCCCCAGTTTAATACGATCACCTCCTGCTCCCTAACCTGTTATATTATACCATGGCTGTCCGTTCTTCATCAAACCTAGATTAAAAATACACAGGTCTAAGGGGCTGGCCCAGGGGAATAGTGGTTAAGTTTGCACGCTCCACTTTGGCAGCCTGGGGTTCGCGGGTTTGCATCCCGCGCATGGACCCAGCACCACTTGTCAGGCAATGCTGTGGTGGCATCCCACATAAAATAGAGGCAGACAGGGCACAGATGTTAGCTCAGGGCCCATCTTCCTCAAGCAAAAAGAGGAAGATTGGCAACAGATGTTAGCTGAGGGCCAATCTTCCTCATTTAAAAACAAAACAAAACACAGGTCTAACTGTTTCCTTGGGCCTTCATTTCCTTATGAAAGCTCTTGTGTCATGTATTATATTAAATAAATTTGTATGCTTTTCTCGTGTTAATCTGTCTTGTCAGTTTAATTTTCAGATCCTAAAAGGGTCAGGAAAAACTTTTTCCTCCTCTACACAATTAATCATGGGTTCTTAAATCATCTTCAGTTTCTTCACACTGTGCTTTTCCCTTCTACTTTTTGCACTTGGAGTTCCCTCTGATGTATGAACTAATATATAGATCTGGGGGCTCTGGGTTATTAATTCCTGAAATTATTCTAAATTCCTCTGTGGATTGCTCCCGTTTGTGTTTAGCTCTTAAAAACTATGTAGCCATGGCTGTGAGCTCAGAGTGAGACCAGGTCTTAAAATCAACCTGAAGGGGTTTTTCTCTCTTCTGAAGGAGGTTTAACTTTAAAAAGAGGTATTGAGCTTGTAACGTTTCTGGCCAGCGTGAGCAGTAGGGGGCCAGGTCAGAGGCGAGATGGGGCAGAGGGAAGTCGAGGAGCATGGAATGACGGCAGAGGAATAAAGGGAGAAAGGACTTTAGGTTTGAGTTGTGATTTGGGGAATCTAAAAGAAACATTGTTTTGATTCATTTATATTTTTATTTTACCTTGGTCAAGAAATCTCTTAAGGAATCCATTTTGGAATCTGAATTTCTTTTGGCAAACCATTGGGTATTTGGAATTTGTTCCTTTTTCTAAACTGTCTCTCAAATGAACAGTTTTGTTCTCTCAAAATTGCAATTGTATCGCTTCATTCTCTTGCTTTGGAGCTTCTAATGGTCACTCATTACTTAGAGATTAAAGCAGTTGACACTGTAGGGAGGAAGGTTTTCCTTCTACCCTGCTAGGTTCTTTGGTTGGTCTAATAATCAGATTGACATAAGACTGATTAAAAGGAGAAAAATAAATTTAATTTGGTATGTACGGGAGCCCCATAAACTTAGGAGCCCCTAGGACAGGTTGGGCAGTTGAGGCTTTTATGCTTTATATGCCGTCGTCCTGGGCTGAAGAATGAAGTAGGAACCTGGGGGCTTCAAAGGCACAATGAGAAGAGTAGATGATTGATAATTAGATGTTTGCACTGCCATATAGGCAGGTGTTTCAGATAAAAAGTTCTCTCTGGTAGTAGCACTCTTTCTGGGCCAGGCACCCGATCTGAATTCGTTTAGGTAGTTACGGGAGAGGTAAAAGTTTTTCTTGAGTCTGCTGGTCTTGATTGCCTTCAGCTCAAAATAATCCACATGCCAAAGTGGCATACTCTGGGGTCACGTGTTTTGTTCACCTTTGGCACATTCATGTACAATCCTCAGGTTTATGAAATTTCCGTATTGTATACCTTCTTCCATGTGTTGTTTCCTCTGCTGCTTTTGTGTGAAACTTTTCTCTGTTGAAGAAGATGTCTTTCTAGTCACTTCCTGAATCTCACCCTACCAAGTCATGGAGCTCATCAAATTGTACTTATTTCATGTTGTATTTCCTGAGACCACATTTTTGCTGAACTTTTTGTTGAGTTATAGTCATGTGAGCTCAGAAGTATTGTGGTTGGCCACTTTCCAATTACTATATTTTCTTCTGGAAATTTATCTTTCTTTTTCAGTAACTAATTCTGTTTAGTAATAACAAGGTTCATGATTTTTTGTTTTACATGAGCTTTTCTGCTATGAAGCCAAATTTCAGTTCAAAGCTTTCCTCATCAGCTTGTAAAGCCTCCTGCCTTACACATTCTTTTCAGGCTTTCTGATGTGTGATTTCTTTATCCTCATAGCCCATTGTCAGTCCCATGGTAATACTACTTATGCCGCCCATTACCTTCTTAGCACTTGAAGTTATCCCAGAAATAATCTAGCTTACTTTAGTCTCATGTTTTGTGCCTTTTTCAAGTCAGAAAAAGTGGGTATGACGAGTGTTAGACAAAGGCATCCCCACGTCCCATACCCCTACTCGTATAAAAGAACTGAGATCGGCTTTTGCTGTTGGAGCTGGAAGCCTCCTTCAGAAGGCCTTTATTTATTCTCTAGTCCTAAGCTTACAGTTAGGGCCACATTCTGTGTATAGATAGTTTTGATCAGCACACTGGGTTAAAAACTTCTTGAGCTGGGATAGCTTTCGGTTTGCTCCATCATCCCCTTTGGTATTACACCTTCAGAGGGATCCTTTCCTTTCCTGGTCTTGTTTGTCCTGATTTTGACTTCTCTCCCCTTGTAATTTTATTTGCTTTCCATTTTCTTTTCTATATAATTTCTTTGATTCTGTCAGAGAAGCTTTAAGTTTTCTAAGAAAAGTTATGTTATTTCTTTTTCCTATTTTCTATTTCCACCACTGATGTTATTTCACATTGTCTTCTTGGTAACACTTCAGGGTATGTAAATGTGATTGATGGACACCTCGGGTAGGAGGACAGCAGGGCCCTTCCTGCCATCTGGGAGCGGCCATTTCTCCGAGAGGTTGAGCCACCTCTGTCTCAGTTTCTAAGCGTCTTTGTCTTTTGTGGTCAGGGCACATGTTTGTTTCCGGTGCTTGTGTGCCAGTGTCCATGGTGGTTCATGTTTCAGTAAAGGTGCTTTAATTTGGAGCCTGTGCGAAGCACCAGCAACCTTTAGCAGACTCAAAAGCAGCACATCCGTTTCTGGGTGTAGCTTCCCAGAATGTCGAAGGCGTCCCCTGGCCTGTGCATCTGGTTCTTCTGCTTCTTGGTCCTCTGTGGGCCCTGTGCTAATGACGCCCTAACTACCCGTCAGGTTCTGATTAGGACAGGTTTCTTGTTTGGGAGTGAGTGGAATGTTACCTGCCTGAATTAAGAAAAATATGAATTCAGAGTATTTGAAAGTGAATATAGATTGTTCCTCAGCTATACAAAGTTGCTTAAAGTAACATTTTAACACCATGTTGAAATACTTAAGAAACTTCACGAAATCTATGCGTATAATACGCTTGTGAACTTAAAGCAGTTTTAAGCCTTCTTAGGTTTATTTTTTAATTTATTTTCCTTTTGGAATCTCATTTTCTACTCCTGATTTTTTTTTCTGCACAATGATCACCGTGCCTTTATTTATCTAACAGTTAGGTTTTCTGTAATTGAATTTTAAGAAAAAATAGATCTTAATTTATCCCAATAAGATGACAAGAAATTGTTTGAAATAATTTTAAATGTAAGACTTCTGTAAAAAATTTTTTCTTTGCAAAAATTTTTGAAAAGCTATAATAAATAATTGCTTTTCCCCGTAATTGATTCTCTAATGAATATAAACAAAATTTCCATGTCTTTTAAAACCTTATTTAAATTGTTATACACTTAGAAGAAATATGTTACAGTGAGTTCAGTGTTTATGAGAATCGAACATCTATACTTTACATTGTCCTTTTTTGGAGTGAGAAAGTTTGTTTTTATCTGCTATACTGTAATGTAAACACTTTCCATATTTCAAGTTCAAGTTTTAGGTTCAGTGAAAACAATCATTTAAATAATGAGGTTTCTTTACATTGGAGAATGCATTGATTTCTAAAGCTTCTTTATCATAAAGAGTTCTGAACATGTAGGATTTGAACTTTTTCGTGCGATAATTCTCAGACTAGAGAAACCTTTGCTGTTCCTGGCATGGGGTAGTGTTTAACTGTATTTTTAGTAACAGTCCTAACTCCGTAGCTATGTAAGCCCCGAGCGAAGACGGAGTCACAGGGTAAACTGGGCTTGCTTCCCATAGGGAGGGCTGGGAGTGAGCAGGAAGGAAGGCCTGGTCGGCAGAGCCCGGGATGCAGCTATGTCTGAGTAGGCAGCCGGCGACACAATGTCTCCCTTGTACGAGGTCGCTGCCTCAGTGAGTGCTCAGATATGTGAGGGCAAAGTGTTTGGGTAAGTGAAGGGAAGCTTGGGGTGTTTCAAAGAGATTCTTTGCATGTTTTTGTGGCATTTGCATTTCAGGGAGTGTACTATTTGTTGCTGCAAAGTACTGGCTTTGTTTTCTGTGGTATTTTAGACTTTTTGAACAAGCTCTATTGCAGGCAGATTGAGCGTCTTACTTTCTAAAACTGTGAGCTTAATTCAGAAAATTTGATTTGTTTCTCATGAAAAGTTAATTTCTGTTTCTTGACATCAGTGAAAATTAATTGTGGCATTCATGTTTAGGAATAAGTTCTCTGCTAGACTTAAAATCTTGTGCTTTTTCTTATCGTTTTCATTTTAAAGTCAGAACCAACTGGTGATAATAATGAAAACGACTTAAAACTGATTAATGGTGTTTAAAATGTATAATGTTGATTTCAAGGATAATTTGCTTGTTTTGAAACAGTGGGACCATTAATTGTGACTTAAGTGACTGTAATATCAAAGTTTCATAATTTACTTCAGTTTGAATAATAGAAAGTTCAGTTTTCACGAAAACAGCTGGTTATTTTTCTTTTGGAAATCTTGATTTTGTGATTAGCTGACATACATGGCTGGTATTTTTCCAGTATTGCTTTTATATTTTGAGCAGCATTTCATTATCAAGCTGCAAGTAGTTCAGTTTTACAGAGTGTGTGCATATTTAAGTGTTTTGCTTTTGAATCTGTCTAGTGGAGTGTGACAATATGAACCGCTTTGACCGATCAGACAGGAATGCCCGGCCACCTCAGGAAGGATTTTGGAAAAGGCCGACCCAGAGGTGGAGCGGACAGGAACATTACCACCTCAGCCATCCTGACCACTACCATCACCACGGGAAAAGTGACCTGAGCAGGTGAGTCCCGTTCAGATCACATTTCTATCCTCTGGCTAATTTTGAATCATAATTCCCTCCTCGCCCCCCAAAAGTGTTTTTTTGGTCTGATTTTTAGAAGCACCACAAACCGCTTCAAGTTATATGTGGTATTAATTGGAATAATATGTTTAATTCTTCCCTTTTGGCCCAAATCTTTTAGCTTTATTATAAATATAAATATTTATGCCTGCTATTTGGACTTTAAGTTTTGGTGTGATTTTCTAATTCTTATTTAGGTATGGTTACATTTTGACTTTGTTAAAGTTTATTAATTTTTAAATAATAACGTATAAAATTAGTACTGAGTGATTTGTCTTCTTTTACTTATATAATAGAGTGAAATTAAAAAATTCCTCGAGTAATACTAGGAACAGCAGCAAGTACTGTATCATGCTAGCATAGCCTTTAATTTGATCAGACCTTGTGTCTAATGTGGCTCTGGAGTCGTTATCCCAAACCTGGCATCAAACCCTGGCCTGGCACAGATTAGCTTTGCGAGCTTCGGTAATTTACTTAACCCCTGTCTACTTGAGTTTACCATCTGTAAAACATAGTTAATACTACCTTCCTCTCTGTGTTTGAGCATCAGGACTAAAAGTGCCGGGAGAAATATCACCCTTGCAGTAGGCACCCCGTGGTAGTTGTTATTAATTTTTTTCCTTTGAACGCTCTCATTCCACTAGGGATTGAGGTCATTTTGGAGCACGTTAACAATACAAATAATAAAGTTAGGATAAAGAAATAACGGGAGGGAAACGCGGCCCCATATAGTTCTTGACGTAAGGAAAAAAAAATTGTTCTAAGATTCCTTGCAGCAAAAGCAAAGAACAAAACTTGACCCATTACAAGATTTACAGTGTACGTAAGATAAAGGATATGTTTCTTCCAAACTGATTGCTTTTATGAGTCAGAAACCTTTGCATGAATTCTTATAGGGAGAACACCTTGTGGTATAGTGGACAGGACTCAGACAGCTTCCCAAAGTGGAAATAATGATAAATTCCGTGTCTCTTTCTTCCTTGTGTTCTTCATTGCAAGCTAGAAAGAACTCTAGTCCAAAGTAGGAAACCGTGGGTCTGCAGTGGGTCATGAAATGACGAGGTCCAATTAAAGATCCTTCTGTTGGGGTAATTTGATGCAAGAATAAAATTTAGAAGATCTGGAAGAATGCACAGGGTGCATATCCTTCTGGGCATTATTTTGCTTGTTCTGTTTCTCACATCTGGGCTTTCGATAAGGAATGGACATCAGAGAGTTGGTATTTTTAGGCAAGAATCTGATGTAAAGATAGTCTTCATTGCTAATGATGAAGATTATGCTTCCCTTGTCTTTAATGGTTGGTTTATAAGAAGATAAATTTAATGCCAACTTAGGAAAATTTAGAAGCCTAATTAAAATGTGAACCATTGCTTATACTCCAGATAAGATTTATTCATCTATTTAACAAATATTCATTGAGAAGCTGTATGTTGAATCCTGTGCTAAATTCTCAAGCTTGGGTAACTACGGAGATGGTGTGAGGGGTGAAAGCTGTGGGTTGGTAATGACTTCTCGGAGCATTGTTTTGAGGACGATAAAAAGACTTCTGCAGTGTATGAGCTCGGTTGGAATCATTGCAGTTACTGGTTATGTGGAAGATTCATGTGCCTCTTCCATCCTATAGAAAGATGAGAGGTAGATACTTCTTGCTGCCAGGATGCTGAGTCGTGGGAGAGACAGCCATGCAGATAGTAGTAATGCAGTGTTAGAGCAGAGTGATGGTGATGGGTGCCTCAAAACGCTGATGTGTACAGGACTCCAGAACATGCAGCTACTGTTTTTTGTCTAGAATAGTGGTGTATAAAGGAAGTTACTACTGAACTGGTGAGTATGACTTTGGAGACTGCAGAGGAGTGGTTTCTGTGGGAGAAGGATGAGTATTCAGATGGAAAGAAACAGCATGTGCAAAACCCTGTATGAAAGTGCATGGCATTTTCAGAGAACTACTCTAATTCATAGCTGGATTGGCTAGGTCGTTTGGAGGGATGAATGGATATGATCTGTAACTCTAGATAGCAAAGCCTCTATGCATTTTAAGATAAAGGGTGGCAAATTTCAGCTTGAAGTGAGGCTATTAATCAAACTTTCCAAAATGGAAGGAGTTACCTGGAGGTAGTCATCTCTGTCCTTGGGAGTGATCAAGCTGAGGCTGAGAGTAATCTGTCAGGAAAGCTAAGCAACATTTTCTAAAATCTCTGTTTCTAGATATCAGTAGGTCCAGAAAAGAGAGATTCTCTGATCAAATAAGTATGAGAACAAACAAATTAAACAAAGTTAAATGAGCTTTTTTAAATAGTGGACTCCACAGGACCTTTCCTATATAAATAGAGTTCTATGATTTTGCAAAAGGTGGTAAGATAGAATATGTAGCTGTTTCCCAAAACGTATGACCACAAATCCCTTCTGCACTGTTTGTTTCAAGAGACCAGTGACTTGTGGACCGTCCACACTGAGGAGAGAAATGTGCAGCATTCTTGGCGGCTGCTAATCTCACTCACGCAGTGCAGAACTTCCCAGAAAGTGGGCTGAGCACCCCTGTCTGTTGTGATGAGTTATCGGTTAACCGCTTTATTGATCCCCTCAGGCTTTGGGGGCCGTGTGGGGTTTGGGACATAGAGATCCCCCAGAGCCAGTTATGGGATGTGTGGTAGAGAGACACCTCATCCAAGACAAGCCTTATGCCAACATACCTTAAAACTATTATTTTCTCTCTGTGCCTTGATATTAAACAGATTTGGAGGCACTATCCACAGGGCCTTTTAAATATTACATGTGTGAAAGTCCCTCTTCCCATTCTATAACTTCTTGAATGTTGGTTCTCTTTCCTGTCCGTCCTTTACCTCCCATCATTTAATTAACTAGAGGCTTATGTCTTATTCATAACTCAGAAGACTGGTGGTTGTGAACCATGGATCTGCTTTCTCTATGTTTCATCATAATGCTGCTCTCTCTTTTCTCCTGGCCTAGCCTTCCACTCCTCTTTTCTCCTCAGATCTTATTTCCCTACACCTTCCACCATGCTATGTGGAATTCTCTTACATACTAACAAACTCACATCCTTGACCTCTTTGCTACATTCTCCTGAATATAACTGAAACCTGAGTTTTTCCTAAATGTACTAATTCCCCAGTAGCATTCTTACAGGAAAATTCTTATCTCCCAGTCACTCTAGTACTTTACTGTTTAGAGGTGGGGTCTTTTTTTCACTCCTCATTGTCATTTCTAAATGAAGTATTCGTAAGTCTCTTTCCCTTGAGACTTAGAGCATTTGACTGTATCAGCTCTTCCTTACTGGTCCCTACTCCTTGCTCACAAACTTTTTGGCCCTCAGCTCACTTTCCCTCTTCATTGTGAGCTTTGCTGTAGTCCTCAGTGGCTCCAGTATTCATGCACATGATTCGTTTAACTCTCTGGGTCCCTGGTTCCTTAGGATTCTCTCTCTGTATTCTCTCTCTATATTCCTGGTTCTTAGGATCTGAAAATAGAGATAGTTTTACTATTCTTTCCGATCTGGATACTTTTCTTTTTTTTTCTCCTGCAAAATTGCTATGGCTAGAACCTCCAGTGCCACGTTGAATAGGAGTGGTTGGAGCAGACGTCTGTGTCTTGTTTTTGATGTCAGGAGCAAAGCTTTGTCTTTCACTGTTAAGCATGATGTTAGTTGTGGGTTTTTCATAGATACTCTTTATCAGGTTGAGGAAGTTCCCTTCTATTTATCTTTTATTGAGTGTTTTTAATCGTGAAAGGGTGTTGGATTCTGTCAAATGCTATTTCTGTGTCTGTTGAGATAATCATTTTTTTTCCCTTCCTTCTCTTAATGTGGTGTATGACATTGACTGATTTTTAACTGTTAAACCAACCTTGCATTTCTCAGGTAAATCCTACTTAGTCGTGGTATATAATCCTTTAATATGTTGCTAGATTCAATTTCCTGGTAGTTTTGTTGAGGGTTTTTGTGTATATATTCATAAGAAATATTGGTTGGTAGTTTTCTTGAGATGTCTTTGGTATTATGATCACATAGATTGAATTGGGAAGTTTTCCCTTCATTTCTGTTTTTCAAAGAGTTTGTGAAGGATTTTTGTTGATTCTTTGTTGAACATTTTATAGAATGAACCAGTGAGGTCCTTTGGCCTGGGCTTTTCTTTGTGGCCAGTTTTTTGATTACTTACTTAATCTCTATGGATGGTATGTACATATTTGCTAGTTTTTATTAGTTTGTAGTGTTGTTCAAGTCCTCTGTTTCCTTGATGATCTTCCTCCTAGTTACTCTGTTCCTTAATGAAGAGGAGATATTGAAGTATCCAACGTCAGCATATCTTGCAGAGAAGGTCTGATACCAACAGATTCTCTCAGTTTTTGTTTATCTGGGGATGTTTTAATTTCTCTTTTATTTTGACGGATAGTTTTGCTAGGTGAAGAATTCTTGGTTGACAGTCTTCCTTTTAACATTTTGACCCCTGTGCTTTCTGATGAAAAATCAGCTGTTAATCTTATTGAGCATGTCTTCTGTGTGGTAAGTCACGTTTTTCTTGCTGCCTTCAGGATTCTCAGATCTTCTTTGTCTTTCAGCAGTTTAACTATGATGTGTCTCTCTTTTAGTTTATCATATTTTGGAGTTTGTTGAGCAAATGATTAGATAGGAGTTTCCTTAAATGCCTTCAACTAGTAAGTCTTCCAGCCTTTGCCAAGGAGCTCTGTGTGTGTGTGTGTGTCTGTGCAGGGCTGCCTTCAACAACCTAGTAAGCATTTGCAGCTCTGCCTTAGCTTCATTTCCTGCTTGCTCAGAGGCTCAAGGTGAGCCACAAGTGAGACACTAAGGCCTTCTCAGGTGTTTCTGTGGCATGCACACAGCCCTATGCTTGCTTGTGGCCTTACCTATGCCCAAGAGTATGTTGGAGCATTTCAAAGCCTCCTGTGGACATCTCATTCCTCAGGTT